CAGTTGCAGTAGCCCCTTGAGTGGACTGCCCAAGTGTTGACCATTTCCATTCCAGCAGCAGCAGCTACCCGACTAGGATGAACAAGACCTTGCTGCCAGAAGATCATCCCCTTCCAACCCAGTGTCAAGTCCCTAGAACACACACATATTTGTAATAGATGTAATGCAAATCCCTAGAACAACACTAATAGGACATTCAAAACACACACACACACACACTACCTTGGGGATGGCTGCTCACTTTCATTTTTTGCACGTTGTTTCCATTGATTACTGCTCCAGTGACCTTATTCACGCTCTTGGAGATTCTGTTTCTAATTTTTATTCGAACTGGCTCCTCATGATGAATCTTTCCTCTAATAATATTGGGCTTCATAATTGTATTTCTTTTTGTTCATTGAAGCTTCCCTAAAGATCGTCTCCTTGTTTGCCTGCAGCTTGTGTGGCATCAACCTCCCTTTAAGCCTGCTTCCGGAGTGCCAACTCTCAGATTGCCAAGCGCAGCAAGGGCGCAAACAATAATTTTTCTCTCTCCTCCGAGATCAACCGGGTCTGGAACATGAATGGAAAAAGGCTTGATGGTAAACACATAATATTTTTTATAAATACAGAGCATTTGAATCTTTATGGTAAACACATATAGATGTCTACGATGACATGACAAGGCAAGGACGCAGCCAAAGTGTGAGACCCTATGCAGAGCTACATGGTCAACTTCTCAACGTCACCACCTGATTAAGGTAGCCTTGTTTGATTTGGACGCATTTATTAATTCTATCTTTATTGCAGACAACCCAGCTTGCACGACTATTTAATGAAGTTGGGATGGTGCTCTACAAACTAGAGGGCATGATGAGCATGGGATTCTGCGAGGCTTTGCTGAGGTAAGAAGTCTAAATCGTGCACCTACAATTTTCATAATTTGGTTACTAATCATAACATTCTGCAGAGGGTGAGGACGAGTTTTAGGAGGATGGATTTCAAGTTCTAATGAACGCACACTCGTGCCCTATGCCTTCAAGACCCCTACTCGCTCTACTTCAACCACGGCACATGGGGGGCTCCTTTACCTAGGCAGCAGGAAAGCTCCAGCTCAGAGGATGAAAGATCAGACACATCGTGGAGCCAGCACGAGTTTGGGTTGTCCCATATATAGGGCGCACCACAATGTTTCACTCAGTCACAGGGAGACAAAGAGGTGGTACTATTTGAACTTAAGTATCCTTCTCGGTACTAAGCGTGGTACCACTCTGCATTACATTTTACATCTATTTGATTGCAGGGTCCAAGCAACACCCAACATACCATCGCCATACTAGCCAGCAGACTCGACAGCAGGACCACACAGATGTGGGGTACACTCCTAAGGTAATGCCGATAGAGCAAAGAAGCAAAACTTGAGGCGTCCACAGACTCAGTGCACCCCTGTGAACTAACAGTGTCCAGTCATGATGTGTAATATATACTATTGTTGTGTGAACACTGCACGGACTGTGATATTAAATGCTAGGAAATGGCATGGTATGTAATATATACTAAATGTTGTCGAATTTTTGTTTAAAATGCTTTCGTTGCGCCAAGACGAAAAAGGTTACTAGTTTTCATTGTTTAATTGGTTGTCCCATTGGTGCATATGTTTTCGTTGTTTAATTGGTTGTCCCATAAATTGGCGCTACAGATGAAAGAAATTCTATTCTCTCTGTGTACAAGTGTAGATAACTTAATCTGATAGCAAAATTCTGAAAATTTTAAGTCATTACTAGCAGAATGTTGAACTGACACATGCACATCGAAATGGCATATTGTTTCTCAAGTTTGGATACATATAGAAGATAATCTACCAAAGGCACAACAAAAATATGTAAAGAATGGTGCATTCTTGCCTGTTACTGCTAGTGGCAGACGACAGAATAAAATTAAGGTATGGCGAAGCTGATCATATCACCAGCATCATGCGGTGTAATAACTCCGTGCCTCTGTATAAATATGTGTACCACAACATGTATCAGTAACTCTTGACTACTAAAACCTATTTGGATTGCTCAAATGAAAAAAATCAGTCTTAGTAAATATATTGAGAAAATATTTGCTACGAAAATTACTATTATTTTCGTGCGTACAACAGTAGTGAGTTATATCCTTATATATTCAACAGTAATACACCATGATCCAAATTGTCATAGGTTCACGGACGGAGAGAGTAAATCCTCAAACTTGATCTGTGCTTTTTTAGGGACATTTGATGTGTGCTTTCGCAATCTCTTTTTTGAAATCTTTTTATGTTCTACACACATAATTAAATTCTGTTGAGGATATATCAGCAAAGGTAAATGTATTATGTATCGACGCTAAATTTCATTACAGTCAGAGCCTTTCTTACTGATGCTTTAGTTTAGGGAAACAAATGATATTTATATCAAGAAAATAATGATGGAAACTGGAAACTAAGAAGCTGCAGCACTTTGTTCTAATGAACGCGCAGCATAACATGCACTGTTAGAGGAGCCAGCTCCTGTATTGGACGGACTAGGAGGGGATGCAGCTAGAATTGGGAGGCCTCTCACTAAACCCTGTTTTTTTTGGAGGCAAACTACACCCTTGTTTTGATCAATTGCCTCACAACTATTGCAATTCCTCTTGTGTCCGCCATTTGCAGTTGTTTCCTCATGCTCTCCCTTCTCTCGCAGCCTGGGTGTCAAGTCAGGGTTGGTGGTGGAATCCCCTTCTTCACCGCCTCTTCCATATATCAGAGTGACATTCTCTTCCAGCCCCTTGCCCTTGCAGACAGGGCACTTAGAGAAGGGTGACTGTGCATGGAGCCACTGGTGCAAGCATGGCCAGAAGAAGAGGTGGCCGCAAGGTGTAACCACGGGCTGTTTAGCCAAGTCAAGGCATATATTGCACTCAAAAATAGAGTTGCAGTTGCAGGTGCCGTCCTTCTTACCAGCACTACTTCCACACCCTTGTTGTCGTTGCAATCTGGATTTTGCCCCCTCACTGCTGCTTGTTCAAAAAGAGCTATGAGTGTGTTGGATTGCCCGGACCAGACTACCTGATCTGTGCTAGCTGCCGCTTGACTATGGTTTGTTGATCCTGGCGTCACAATGTTGTGCTGCTGCCTAATCTGTATCGCCCTCAGAAAGTGGAGCTTGGGAGCTCCTGCTTCAATTGCTGTTGGAGCAGCCTCTTGAGTGGACCGCCCAAGAATGCTTGTGTTTACCATCCCCATTCCAGCAGCAGCAATTACCCTCCTAGGGCACACAGACCTTGCTACCAGACGATCATCCCCTTCCAACCTTCGGGCAGCTACCAGAAGCTGCGGCATAGAGACACTAGGACCATCCACTAGCGCTGGCAGCTTTGGAGCGTCAATGTCCTCTTCACAACTGGCACTGCTGCCGTCGAGCTAGGAATAAACTATGGGATCGGGCATTCGGATCTCTCCAGGGTGGAGAGACCATTCGATGGCGAATAGGCCGCCACTGCCAAGGCGAGTGATTCCTCGCCCGTTCTAGGAGCATCTGGCGCAGCACCGGTCAGGTTGGGCATCAACGTCGGGGATGTCGTCGTGGTGTCGAGCCAGACTCGAGGCAGCGGCAATAGAGGCAGGGCAATATAAGGTTTAGATCCGTACACCTCCTAGTCCTGCTGTCCCCGCTGCCTCCTCTCCTGCCATGCTCGCGCAGTCACAGCACCCACTTGCCCTCCACGGATTAATACAGACTCCTACACCCGCAAGACCCATGGAGGGAAAGGAGACACCAGTAAAAACTTAAACAGGAAGAGCAAGCCTCCTACTCCCAGAAGGGCAGAATATGCCAGAATCAGGATACCGTCTGATAAAAAAGGGCCCCCACAAAATATTACGATGGTTGCTTGCTAAACACCAATTTTACTCATGCGGCAACACTAAAGCTAGATAATTTATACAAACACACCAGTAAGAAATGACCAGTAAAACAAAGATGGATTTATATTGCTGAATTTTTGCTTAGACTTATTCAGCACGAAACAAGATCAGAGAAATATTTGTAATAGAAGTGATTGTTATAAATTTAGGAAATTTCAGTATCATTTTACTCCAGAAAAAATTAAGAAAAAGTCTGTGGCCTCAGATAAGTGCACGTGGACTCAAGTGTCATGAACACATATATGATACTAATCATCAAGATCTTGACCATATAAAAAGAGGATGAAATTCAACATACCCAATGACACCAGAGCCGGCTACGTAAGTCGACATAGCCCATGTTGTCGTAGTCGTCCCGCTCGATGAACTTCCAAGATGTAGCAGTGCCAATCTGCCACCGCCATGGGAAAACTTGCGTTCCTTTCTTTATTTATTTACGTACAGCATGGGAAAACTTGCGAAAACTACATAGTACGTACTACACGGCATGGAATTTGTTGGCATCACCTGTGGGCTATACTGCATATATACGGACTACTTGCTAAAAGGACCGTATCAATTCTCAAAAAAAAAAAGGGACCGTTGATGCTATATACTCGCTCTGTCCCCGAAGGAATCAATTCCTGGAGTTGTCATAAGTCAAACTTTTTAAACTTTGACTGATTTTAAAAAAAAAACGCTAAAATTTATGACATGAAATTAGTATCATTAGATTTTTTATAGAATATATTTTTATAAGATGCTCATTTTATGTTATAGATGTTGTTACTTTTTTATATAAAGTTAAAAAAGTTTGACTGGCACGGATTCTAGGAATTGATTTATTTGGGGACGGAGGAAGTATAACACGAACCGTTTCACTTTGTCTCTCCTAAGAATGAAACTGGGATCTAGTCACACTAGTTCTTTTGGCAAACTTCACTTTCTCCTTGGAGAACCACTGCAACTAAAGCTAAGCTAACAGGAGTGTTGCCAAAAAATATCTAACAGAACATATTCAGTAGTGCTACATGTACCTCTAGAGAGTAACCTTTGCCGAGTCTACTTCCCATATATATGTGAGCTCAGGGGACATTAGAGCTAACCAAAGATGGTCTCCAGCTCTAGACATGCACCTAGTGTGTATTGTACCATGATGGGTGACCACTGCAAGACATCTTTGGTTAACTGCGTGCCTGCGTTGGGTCGTGAATTGTGACCCACAGTAATTCCTATGATTGGGTGGAGTAATAAAAAGGTAATCTTTGAGCAGGTCAGTGGTGACTAATTGCGATATTCTTGTTCCTCTGTTTTCCGGAGCAGAGCACGGGGCGGCAGGGATTCCGGCGCAGCACTCGCCTGCGGCGGCGTCACCACCGGGGCCGAGCGAGGAGCTCCCGTCGCCGTCCTCCACCGACACCATCACTCCGCGGAGGCGGTACCGCGGCGTGCGTCAGCGGCCGTGGGGGAAGTGGGCGGCGGAGATCCGGGACCCGCACAAGGCGGCGCGCGTGTGGCTGGGCACCTTCGACACCGCGGAGGCCGCCGCGCGGGCCTACGACGAGGCGGCGCTGAGATTCCGCGGCAGCCGCGCCAAGCTCAACTTCCCGGAGTCCGCCACGCTCGTGTCGGCGCCGCCGGCGGCGGTTCCTCCTCCGCCTCCGCCGCCGCCGCAGAGGCCCGAGGCGCTGCTGGAGTCGCAGGCGCTGGCGCTGGCAGGCGGCGGCGGGGAGTACTCGGAGTACGCCAGGTTCCTGCAGGGCCCCGCCGAGCCAACGCCGCGCCTCTACGACCAGGCGGCGGCGCGCGCTGTCAGGCCGCCCGCGGTGACCGCGGCGTCCGGCTCCTCGTCGGCGCCGTCGTTCCCGGTGCTCTTCAGCTTTGGAGGCGGAGGAGGTGACAGCAGCGGCGCCGGGGGTCATCACCGTCAGTGGTGGACGCAAGGCAGCAGCGGCTCCGCGAGCGATGGCGGGACCGGGTACCCGTCGCCGCCGCCGCCGGCGACTTGGGCGGACTCGGGGTGGTGGCCGGCGCCGCCGCGGGACCCCTCACGATGACGTCGATGTCAGGCTTGTGTCACCGCAAGCCAACAAGCCAATCTGGAGTGGAGAGCACTGAGAATTCTTGGCCGGATTTCGTCACGTTCGTTGACACGTGTCCCCATTTTTATTCCCATCTAAACAAAATACGCGCATGCGTCATGTAGAAATTTTAGGCTTTTAATTAGGTGTGCCACTTTTTGGAGAAGATCCATTCGAAATTCGTATTCTTGGATTCTTTCTTTTTGATTCAATTTTAATAATTGGCGAAAGCATCCGACTGCTTCAGAAAGAGATTTTCGAATCTGAACTCTGAAGGTGCTTATTATGCTCCGGTGGTGTCCTAGTCCTCCTGCTTTGTGTTCAGTCCAGTTCAGTTCATCTTTGCCTGTAAGGACACAGAGAAAGAACGGCCATGCTGCCGAAAACGACACGCACACGCACACGCACTGCCGGATCAGAAGAATTCAGAAGCTCTCGTCGTCGTCGTCGTCGGAACAGGGGATTGACTAGCGGAGCGCGACCAACGCCTGCGGTGACGATGGGAACACGGTGCAATTAAGCACAGCGCCCCAAAAGTTTGTCGGACGCATTGCCTTGCCGGGACGGAGAGCGAATCTGCGAGTGCCACTGATCTTGGTGGTGGGGACTCGCGGGCGGCGGCTCGCAGGCAGCGTACGTACGGGGAAGCTGCGGTGGGTGTGAACCCTAGCCGCCGGAACAACCTGTCCCTGTCCGTCGACGAGATGTAGGTGCGTCTGCCAGTCTACGTCAAAAACTGAAACGGGCGGCGCCGGCATATGGAGTTTTGGCAACGGTGGTAAGAGAAAGAGAGCACTGTACTGTACTTTGACTTGGGCATTAGGGAAACGAACCCTGGCTCGTCGTCTCTGTCTCCGTCGCAAGCAATGGACCATCGCTGTCTGTGGTCTGTCTCTCCCCTACTCCTACTCCTACTCCTACTTGCAGCGGCAACACTGATGTGAGCACCCGACGATGAGGAGCGGGGTGGAGTCGATCTGGGCCGAGGTTTGGTGTAGCGGCCTGGGGTGGAACAGGCCCAGCAGGCCGAGTTTCTTGGAAAGAAAAGGAATAGATGCAAGAAAAGGATAATCTGGGCCGGGCATGCCTCTTTTCGGAAACGAAAATCTTGCTACGCCGCATGTACTACACAACATGTAGTAGTGCTACCACCTTTTTCAAAGGACCACGCGCAGCCTTCTCGACCCTTCGTCCGACCCAGCTACAGTCACCAGGGCCAAAGCAGGGTGATTCGCTTCCCGCGGTCCATCTCCTCGCCTCTGGTGTAGAGGAGTCGCAGAATCGACGACCGGTGTACATTCCCTCTCGTATTAGCTTAAGTTTCAGTAACTTAGGGTTAGTTTTCTCCCCATCGGTGGCCTCATCGATGTGGATGTGTGCTCCGTGCTCATCTTCCGATGTGGCTGCGACGTCGTCGGTGGTAGTGTCCTTCGGTGGCGCCCCTACCGCATAGAAGATGTGGTATGTTATCTATCCCCTATGTGAGTTAGGGTAGGGTGTATTCCCGGTGACGAATCCATCGGGAATCTTTTGCTCCCTCCATGGATTTATAGGTGGCGTCTGTGTCGGTGGTGGATGGTGTTTGGCGATGGTTGATGGGCTTGTGGTGCTCAACGACGGTGCTTCATGCCGTTCAGCATCGACGATGGTTTCCTCGGTGGTGTTTTCTCATGCGTTGGTTCTCGAATCTCCTGTGAGCTTCTCTTCTCTGGTTGTGCCCACAATGTCAATCGCATCACCAGACTTCAAATCACCGACATTGTTGCTGTTGGAAACTGGAGGTTTGTAATACCCCTTTGTGGGTTTGCTGTTTGTTGATTGGGGTTGGCCGGCGAGGCGATCGGCGTCAGATCCCGATGAAAACGAGGTTTGGCCGTGGCGTTCAACGGATAAACAGCACGCCTTTGGCATGCTATTGATGGCCTTGTTAAAATTCGAAGACTCTTTGTCGATTCAGGTATCGACCGTGATCTTCATCTTGGATGATCTTTACTGAGGGAGGTGGAGAAAATCCGGGCTGCGGCAACGATGGTCGACGACGGCGATGGGCGCTGGATGCTCCTGCGAAGGATCTGTTTGTATTTTTTTTAATTCAGGGGTGTCCAGTCAAGGGGTTGTTTGTATAAGTTCTGTTTTAATAAAATCCAACCCTTTACCAAAAAAAAAACCTTTTTCTAAGAGAAGATGTACGTTGGTATTCTTGGATTCTTTTCGAATAAACTTTGGTTGCTTTCTTGGCCGGTTTAGTTTGTCTTGGCTAAAAAAAACTCAGGAATCTGATCAAAGCTGTCACGAGTCAGCACGGGAATAGTGGTGATCGAAGACTATTTATTGTCTACGATTTACAATAGTGGACTTGGGCGGACTCTGTTTGGTGGCCCCGGCGCTGTCGCGGGACCCGTTACGATGACGAGTCAGGGTTAGGCTTGTCTGTGCAAACAAGCCAATGTGCAGTCATCACCGAGCACACTAGAAACTGTGTCCTGAACTTTTTTTCACGACCGTTGGCACCACACGTGTACCGATTTTTGTTTCTCTCTGAAAGAATACGCGCAAAATTACGTCATGTAGAATTTTTAGGCAGCAGCACACTTTTTGAAGAGGACGGATGCATTGGTGATTCGTATTCTTGGAATTCTTTTCGAATGTTTGGTTGCTTTACTTACCATACTTGATTTGTCGGATTATAATTTTTGTCAAAAGTTTCCATTTGCTTCACAAAAAGTTTGTGAAGGTGTCACATCAGTAGTGCGGCGGGGAGCTTATTATGCTCCCGATGCAGTCCTAGTCTTGCTCCGTGTTCAATTGAGTTCAGTTCAGTTCATCTTTGGAAACGGAAAGAACGGCGCACAGGCCTTCGTTTCTTCGTGTCGGCGAAAACGACACGCACTGCTGGAATTGGACTACAGGAGACTGGCCGCGCGCGCATGTGGCTTGGCTTGTTGTGCTGTGGTGGAATGGTTGGGATGGTCTGTCTCACTCTCATCGACTGGTTCATCAGGTTGCATGCAAGTCAAAAAGGTTACAATAAGTAGCAGACGCGAGCAGGCTGAATAGCTAATTAAGCGCCGGACACAAACGTTGCAGCATGTTTTGGTTCTTTTGCCAGGAGAGGCAAGCTAAACAAGCCTTGCCTAACGTTGCTGATCAAGGCATGGTAAGATAGTATTTTGTAGTTTGGATGTTTTACATGTAGCATGTCGGTTTATTTGGTTCCAAAGTTTGACGGTCAATAAAGTATTAGGCCTTTGGCATGGTAAAAATAATAAAGTACTTAGAACTAATTCCTACCCATGTAGGACATACAAATGCAACCTCCATCTGACAACCGAACTCACCCTGAATCGGCCGCACCGCCTCAGCCTGCATGCGGTCGTTCATTTGCACCGGTGGATGTAGTGCAGTATAGTGGAATATACTACTAGAGACGGCCTCTTTGCCGAGGGCCTGAGGCCCTCAGCAAAGGCCCATTAACCCTCGGCAAAGGCTTTGCCGAGGGCGGCCCTCGGCAAAGAGCTCTCGGTGAATTTTGAGTCGGCGAAGAGGGTCTTTGCCGAGGGCCGTTTATCGGGCACTCGGCAAAGCCTTTGCCGAGGGCTGGACCAGCACTCGGCAAAGAAAAGCAACCGTCACGGCGCCGGCGCATGGGACGGAGTCTTTGCCGAGGGCCGTCTCCAGGGGCCCTCGGCAAAGAATTATTCTTTTTTTTTTGAAAATCCCTCGGCAAAGAAATATTGCAGAATTTTTCCAAAAAATCTTTGCCGAGGGCAACGGGACGGCCCTCGGCAAAGAATTATTCTTTTTTTTTTTGAAAAATCTTTGCCGAGGGCTTCCCCGCAGACCCTCGGCAAAGAAATTTTATTTTTTTTTAAAAAGTCTTTGCCGAGGGCCTCCAACCATGGCCCTCGGCAAAGAAATGTTCCAGAATTTTTCCAATGAATCTTTGCCGAGGGCAATGGGACGGCCCTCGGCAAAGGACCCTTCTTTGCCGAGGGCCTTGGTCATTGCCCTCAGCAAAGAGGCAGAAATTTAAATTTTTTTTTGTTTTTTGCATTCCATAAGTTGGAAGTGTAATAATTGGTGTCAAAAAGACATTTATTCAGCTCTGATGGTACAGAAATCACTTAGAAAAAAAAAATATAACCGTCAAGTACAAAGACTTGAAAACCAACATAATACACATTTATTTCCGCCATTCTAGTTAGGGTACAATGATGCTCTAACTGAAATTGCCTAATGGCAAAGAAAGAGAAAATGTAAAACATCTAGTTAACAATTACAGCTAATTTTCCTGATGTGATTTATCACAGTAAAGAGCAAGAAGAGAACTTTGTTATATCCACCCTCAGCAGCAGAGACAAAGCTCATACAGTGTTTACAGTATCAGCAAGGGACCGCAATATACAGCCTAGGCCTGCCTTCTCAGTCAGTTTTTCATGAATTTTGAGGCACTGATCACATGTTGGCCTATCCCCTGTAGATAAACCTCTATAAAGGTACCTGCATCACACTGATATTTAGAGACTAATAATCTTCATATTAGCATAAAAGGAATCATAGAAGGCAACAATTCCAAGACAGAAATAAAGAGATACATGTGAGTAAAATGGTGTACAGCTAACTTAATTTTACCACAGTTCTAAGGTGAGCGGCACAGCAACCTTCAACAATGTGAAATCAAGGATGACGTGAAACGTGATAAAGTGGACAAGCATAGGAATATTGATCAGCATACATACATGTTCATTCGATCATGGCGTGAGCAATATTAAATAAGAAATGCACACATCTAAGTGACAGCCCATAGTATCCAAAGCTCGTTCAGGTATTGAGTCATACAACTCATTGTCATTTTGTCAATACTGTCGTTTATAGAACAGAGCTTGTTCAGGTATTGAGTAATACAACTCATTGTCATTTGTCAATAGTACACTGTCGGTTATAGAACCGATCTTGTTCAGGTATTGAATCATACAACTCATTGTCATTTTGTCAATAGTACACTGTCGTTTATAGAACAGATTTCATAAAACAGTGTGTCATCCAGTCCAAAGCATTAACTTGATCAGCAATTCCTATTCTAAATTAATTTTAGGTCAACGGAATTACAATATTTTTTTAAGTAAATTGAACTACTAATCATATGGTCGATCCAAACAAACATAGACTGACTGCATGCATTCTAGAATGCACTCATTTTTTACTGGAAGTTGTACAGTCCCATAAAATAATTGAAATGTTATATCCTCTTGACCACACAAAGTAATGGTATAATCAAAGGTTCCATTATGTGTTCTCTCTAATCCAATTTCCCAATAATTAACACACAATTAAGCAACATCTAGACTGAAAGGGCAAAACAAAATTTCCCAAAATCCCAACCAGCTACCGCAGCAGAATGACAAATCATAACAAGCATGGCAGGATGAAAATCACCAATGTTAGGTACAGCATAACTGTTCTCAATCATCAACTGTCATCCCACCGCACAAAACTGATGTCATAAAAACTAAAGTTTTGTAGCAATACCATTACACAATCACCGTGGATCAATGCAACAAAATTTATAATGCAGTGATTGATATCTAGTTCTGGAAAATTTGGATCTGGGAAGCAAGTGATGGAAAGGGAGGAGCAGGGGAGAGGTGGTATCCCTTACTTCATGAGGATGTCGTAGTACTCGGGATCCAGGGAGTTGAACAAGCCGTCGACGTCCCTGATCGCCATCATCGCGCGGTGCACCACGATCCAGTTCGCCGACTGCGCGCAGCCGACAAGAATGAACAATCCAAGAAACCCAGATCGAACCCACGGAAGAAACGAGACGAGCCATATCAAGACCGAACCTTGCATCGCTCGTCGCGGGTCTTGAGCGGCGACCCCTCGAGCGCCGTCTTTAGGGCCTCCACCGGCTTCGACCTGCCCCCACGTCGCGGAGAAATGAGCAGGCGAATCAAAAGCTGGGGAGGGGTCGAGAGGAGAGGAAGAAGGGGCGATCGCTTGAGGAGGGTCTCGATCTTTCGGGACTTCGCCGATCGTCGCGGTGATGATGGCCTCAGGTTCTCGTCGTCAGATCGGGCGCCGCCGACGGCCATCCCGCCGGCGCCAAGCGGCGACCACGAGGGCGGGTTGGCGCTGCCGGGCTACTACGAAAAGGAGGGCGCCCCACGTCGTAAAACGATCGGATCGGTGAACAGGGTCGTCGCTGAACGAACGGATCTGGGGTAGCTTACGGGCTGTCCGGTGGACGGGTCGGTGTCTCTGCCGGCGGGGGCCGCGCGGGGCCCACGGAGGGCCGGCCGGGCGGCCGAGCTCCTTGCTCAACCGAGACGGGAGGGGAGGCAGGCGCACCCCGGGCGGCTCTAGGCGCGGGGCGCCGCCGTCGGTGGGCGGCGCGAGGTCGGGCGGCGGGCGCGCGGCGGCCAGCGGCGGCAGCGGTGTGGTGGGGCGGCGTAAGAAATGTGGGCGGGGATTTTGAGCCAGCCCGCTGGCCGATTTAGGGTTGGGCGCTTTGCCGAGGGCCCAGATCCTAAGCCCTCGGCAAAGATTTTTTATGTTTTTTTAAATATTCTTTGCCGAGGGTTATTGGCCGATGGCCCTCGGCAAAGACCCCCTTTGCCGAGGGCCAGGCTAGGCCCTCGGCAAAGATTTTTTTTTGGTTTTTGAACCTTGTTTTTTTGTGGTGCTATAATACATTATTTAAAACTCAATTTTAAAATTTGGACCAAATTTGATTTTTTTATATATTTTCCTAATTTATTTCTTTTCGTTGATTTTTTTCGAATATTTCAAATTTGAACTGCAGGTGGATGGAATAATGCAATTTAGTGATTCAAAAAATGTTATTCATGGTATTTGATGTATGTTGAGTCCCTATCTACGAACTCGCATCAAATTTCGGGCATCTTCTTCACGTAACATGATGAGGAACTTGTCGGAAAAGTGTTTTTAAATTATATAAAATCCATAC